GACTGTAGCCTGCCAGGGTCCTCTGTCCATGGAACTTTCCAGGCAAGAATACTGGAGTGGGTTGCCATTTCCTTCTCCATGTATTTTTATTGGGGCCTACTAAAACCAAGGAATAATCTTAGCTTGGAAGAAGGCTTGTAAGTTTTGTTCAAATGAGATAAAATATGTGAAAATGCTTTATACTATAAAATGTTAAATTTCTGACCATTATTATAATGTCTATTACATTTGTATCCTGTGTTTTTAATTTCCTGCCTATTACGTTTCTCACATCTTTTCAATATGTGAAAATCTGTCATTTAAAACACATAACAGAGTTAGTATCACTACATAATTATTACACAAAATATATTCTAACAGCTATTAAAAAACAGCCTATTCTTTTACATGATAAATTACTTATTGAAAAAGTTAACAAAAACCACAACACTACTGTCTACTGAAATAAGACTTGTTATAAACAACAATTAGAAAAAAATCACAGCAGTGCATTTTGCTTTGAAAAAAGGAATATGAATTTTCTCTAAACTTGGGACATTGTATTCTTTTTTTTTTTATTAGTTGGAGGCTAATTACTTTACAATATTGTAGTGGTTTTTGTCATACATTGACATGAATTAGCCATGGATTTACATGTATTCCCCATCCCAATCCCCCCTCCCACCTCCCTCTCGACCCGATCCCTTTGGCTCTTCCCAGTGCACCAGGTCCGAGCACTTGTCTCATGCATCCAATCTGGGCTGGTGATCTGTTTCACCCTAGATAATATACATGTTTCGATGCTGTTCTCTTGAAACATCCCACCCTTGCCTTCTCCCACAGAGTCCAAAAGTCTGTTCTGTACATCTGTGTCTCTTTTTCTGTTTTGCATATAGGGTTATCATTACCATCTTTCTAAATTCCATATATATGTGTTAGTATACTGTAATGGTCTTTATCTTTCTGGCTTACTTCACTCTGTATAATGGGCTCCAGTTTCATCCATCTCATTAGAACTGATTCAAATGAATTCTTTTTAATGGCTGAGTAATATTCCGTGGTGTATATGTACCACAGCTTCCTCATCCATTCGTCTGCTGATGGGCATCTAGGTTTCTTCCATGTCCTGGCTATTATAAACAGTGCTGCGATGAACATTGGGGTGCACGTGTCTCTTTCAGATCTGGTTTCCTTGGTGTGTATGCCCAGAAGTGGGATTGCTGGGTCATATGGCAGTTCTATTTCCAGTTTTTTAAGAAATCTCCACACTGTTTTCCATAGCGGCTGTACTAGTTTGCATTCCCACCAACAGTGCAAGAGGGTTCCCTTTTCTCCACACCCTCTCCAGCATTTATTGCTTGTAGACTTTTGGATAGCAGCCATCCTGACTGGAGTGTAATGGTACCTCATTGTGGTTTTGATTTGCATTTCTCTGATAATGAGTGATGTTGAGCATCTTTTCATGTGTTTTTGAGCCATCTGTATGTCTTCCTTGGAGAAATGTCTGTTTAGTTCTTTGGCCCATTTTTTGATTGGGTTATTTATTTTTCTGGAGTTGAGCTGGAGGAGTTGCTTGTATATTTTTGAGATTAATCCTTTGTCTGTTGCTTCGTTTGCTATTATTTTCTCCCAATCTGAAGGCTGTCTTTTCACCTTGCTTATAGTTTCCTTTGTTGTGCAAAAGCTTTTAAGTTTCATTAGGTCCCATTTGTTTATTTTTGCTTTTGTTTCTAAAATTCTGGGATGTGGGTCATAGAGGATCCTGCTGTGATTTATGTCGGAGAGTGTTTTGCCTGTGTTCTCCTCTAGGAGTTTTATAGTTTCTGGTCTTACATTTAGATCTTTAATCCATTTTGAGTTTATTTTTGTGTATGGTGTTAGAAAGTGTTCTAGTTTCATTCTTTTACAGGTGGTTGACCAGTTTTCCCAGCACCACTTGTTAAAGAGGTTGTCTTTTTTCCATTGTATATCCTTGCCTCCTTTGTCGAAGATAAGGTGACCATAGGTTCGTGGATTTATCTCTGGGCTTTCTATTCTGTTCCATTGATCTATATTTCTGTCTTTGTGCCAGTACCAGGGACATTGTATTCTTATAGAAGAGCTATTGGAATGAAGAATAGCAACATCTTATGTTTTATAGCACATTTACAAAGTAAAGGTCAAAATCTATAATAAAAAGTGATGTAAAGAAAATGGAGTTGTTTTTATTTAGTATTGATTCATATTATGTCAGACCTTTTTTCTTTCTTGTTAATAATTATTCCACTTAGTGAATATTTACTTAAAGGAAATGACCAATGAATTCTATTTTATGTTTAGGTTAACATAGGTTAATGGTCATTTATATGAAATGGCTATGTACTTACTCAAGCTGACTTCTAATGGTACTCTAGGGCATGTATCACAATCTCATAAAAATGTGGATAACTTTATCTCTTTCAGGAATTTCAGTCATTTTTTGTCATGCAAGGACAAAATTTGTTAGTAATCCATAAAAAATATGATTCATTAAGTGTGGAAATCTTTGGTAAATTCATTTTCATCACATTTTTATTATTTCTAAGAATTCCAGAACCACCCAACCTAATTTTAGCTTTTGCTTTGTAACAAATGAAAGTCTTTCAAGGGCATATGGATCTTATCATACATAATAAAGAGTAAACAGATATTTCCCTTTGGATATGTACATTCCATAGACATCTAATACTTGGTCATATTTCACTGTATAGAAGCTATATGGGCTCCAAAGAAGATAGAAAATATTAATACAGTTCTTGGCCTCCTTGAGTAGGGGTGAAAAACTTCCCTTGGTAAAATAAGAAAATTTTTAATTTTATGTAAGAAAATTCATTCCTGTGTGAATACAGTGAATAAATATTATATAAATATCAACTATGTGCCCACCTCTTGTTTTAGAGACTGGGAAATCACCAGTGAACAAAAACAGAAATCCTGGTCTTCATGGAGCACATTCTAGTTAAGGCAAAAACCAGAAAACAATATTAATGAAATGTTGGATGGTAATAAGTGCCATGGAGAAAAATAAAATAAGCAATGGGGACATAGGTGGGGTGAGGATATTGCAGTTTCTCAAGTAGGGTACCAGCAAAGCCTTAATAGAGCAGAAGTTTGCTTGAATGGGAGGATGAGAGAGATGAGGGAATTGTTTCTGTTCCAGGCAAAGGAATAATAAAGTGTTTGAGACCCTTACCTGGGAACATGTCCAGCACGTTTGAGGAGCAGCAGGGAAGCAAAGTAGGGCTAAAGAGGAATGGAGGAGACTAAAGGGAGCTGATAAAATAACCCAGAAAAGTGACGATAGTAGCTCACAGTCCTGTGGTAGCAGTGGAGGGTGGTAAGAAATTGGGACTGCTGCCAAGGTTATAAAAGAGAGAGGAATCAGTATTTTTGATTTGCTAAATGGAAGGATAGAATTTCCTTTAACTGAGGTAAGAGATTACTGCAGGAGGAGTGGAGTTTGGGGAAAACGCCTGGAGCTATATTTTTGTCATGTTTGAGATACCTATTTGTCATCTAAGTGGAGAGGTCAAGCAGGCAGTTGAATCGGCATTTTGTGGCATTTAGGGAAGGAGCTTGGCAGGAGAAATAAGTATGAGCAGGTATGTGCAATGTTGATGAACACTGCTAAGAATTAACAGTTGAAGAAAAAAATCAGTGAAGGAAAGCCTTCAAGAAGCAAGATAAATTCTAAGCTCCTGGACCTTTGATTAGTGGAAAGGAAAGAGAAAAGGATTCTAGTCAGGGAAAATGTCCTAGCATCTTAGAATATCATTTGGAAATAAATTTGAATATTTTTCTATGTTGGTTTTTTCTTTTTTCTTGAAAGTTTTATAGTGCATCTATAGTGTTATGGAGCAGTAGGTGCACAGGAAATATGTGTTGCTTATAAATGAGAATAATATTTTTCTTTTTATATATTTATTTTATTTTTGGGTGCACTGGGTATTTGTTGCTGTGCACAGGCTTTCTCCAGTTGCAGGGAGTGGGAGCTCCTCTCTAGTTGCAGTGCACAGGCATCAATCCTTCTTGTTGCGGTAGCGTCTCTTGTGGAGCATGGGCTCCAGGGCATGCAGGCCTCAGTAGTTGCAGCTCACGGGCTCCAGAGTGCAGACTAAGTCATCAGTGGGGCACGCGCGTAGTCGCTCTGCTGCATTGTGAAGTCTTCCCGAGCCAGGGCTGGAACCAGTGTCCCCTGCACTGCAAGGTGGATTCTTAGCCACCAGAACATTAGGGAAGCCCCAGAGTAATACTTTCCAAGTTTATTACATTAACCAGTATGTAATCACTCAATATTTAGGGTTTTAAAAAAATTCCAGATATTTTTATTGTGCTCATAAAATATGCATGACATAAGCTTTACACTTCAACTATTTTTAACTTTACAGCTCAGTGACAACTAGGTACATTCTGAAACTTAGTTACATATATAAAAATATCCTCTGTTTTTAAAAAAATCAACATTGTTTCTCCTGAGAAAAAAGAATTTAGAGCTGTTTGGACTTTACTTGTAAGAGCATTCTGCAAGATAATTCTAAATTATTATCTCTTCTGTTTGAAAGACTGGGAGAAGTCCAAAAAACAAAAATGAAAAGTAGTGTCTTACTTCTAAAACAGATTTCTTTTTCTTGTCTTAAAAACTGAATTTCCATTAGGTGTCATTTGTATTTGTCTAGTCAGTGATGAATTGTGTTTTATTTACCTTCTATTACTGGTACCTCATATAGAAACCAAATGTTCAAATAAAATTGTGCTGTATATCTGGAGCTTAAGGATTTTCAGAAATGAAATGAGTATGCCCTGCTTCATAGTTTCTTTGCCTACTTGCTTCTTAGATCCCTCTCAAAGTATGTTCTTTGTTTTTAGTTTGAGTTTTGTAAATTATATTTTGTAATTAATTATGGATTTTATAAATTACATGGAAGTATGTGATATGTCTACATTTTGTGAGTTATAAACCTAGGAAATTGTCTGTCTGTTGATTACAGTGTCTTCTTTTTTAGGGAACAAAGAAGGAAGAGACTGAAGGTGAAGTGGAAGTGTCTGGTTTAATTCAGCCTGCAGAAGTGTTTGCTCCCAAAAGCCTGGTGTTGGTATCCAGATTAGATTATCCAGAAATTTTTAGGGTAAAGAACTCATAGTTGTTGTTATTGATTTGTATCATTGTATACATCTATTCTGAGTGAACCATGGTGACAGGTTTTTTTGTACCTAAAATATCTTTAAATTGATTGGGAATTCATCCATAAAATAAAATTTCTGTGAACAGAAGAAATGAATTTCATGTTGGATGAAATAAATGCTTGAATAAGTTAGTATTACTATTTAAACTTCTAAGGATGTTTAAAAATCCTTATATTTAAGGATGTTTAATTTGTTTTACAATAGGTCCCATCTATACTGACTCCAAAATTTATGAATCCTAAAGAAATCATTTGATTACTTGTATCAAGTTCAAAATGCATTAGTAATGTAACAACTTAGTGTGTTTTTACTGATATTTTTAGGAGTCCAGATGAAAGGAAATAGAATGAGTATTTGTGATTTCAAATAGTTGTGATCATAGCTACCAACATAGCTTTAAAATAGTTTACTTCCAGATATTTTACTTTTTAGATAGTTAGAATTTTCAAATATAGAAAAAAATTTACTGTAGTTATAAATACATTTGAAAGGGAAGAGGGCTTATTTTTCTTACTTCAGTTGCTGTCTTTAATATTAGTTATGTTGACCATTGTCAAGAAATCACAGATCTTCTTTAGAAAGTATAAACTATACCTTAAAATCTCTCAAGGATTTGATAAATTAATGCATAATTTCTGGAAAACTTTTCTGTATAGTGTGAGATTATATATATTCTTAGTGTCAAGATTTCAATGACAATTGGTAACTCCTAATGGTGTTCTTGCCTGGAGAATCCCAGGGACAGAGGAGCCTGGTGGACTGCCGTCTGCAGGGTCACACAGTGTTGGATACGACTGAAGCGACTTAGCAGCAGCAGCAGCAACAGATACTAATTTTTTAATTATAAATTTTAATAAACTGTAAGATTCATATGATTCCATTTTCTCCTCCATTTTACCACCTACCTTCTGATCTTAAATTGTTAATCATATATTCTCTATTTTGCTATTCTTTATAATAATTCACATAAGTTAAATTTTTCTGTAAAATAAATGTTCTGAATTATTGAGAATCACAAAATAAGGTAAAGTTTCTAAATTTTTACCTTGAAAATTGGAGTTTTGCAAAATAAGTTGAGACAAAAAGAGTTTTAAGTCTTACAAATTTGCTGGAGTGTTTATCTGAACACAAACACCTGTTTTACAAATTATGTATTTCTGTTTTTTATAAACTCATCTTAGAAGCTCATTTAGAGCTTCTGGTTCTGGAGGAAAATTTAATAAACTTAATAACATTTGCTGTTTAAAATTTATTCCATGGTCACTGTAGAATATACTATGTTCAAAGAGAAACTTTCCCTGGAGCAGATGTCACAATTTATTTTTAGTGCTTGCTTTTTCCATGAAATAACTACATGCATCTTTTGTTTTCAGGCTTGTCTGGGTTTGATCTACACTGTATATGTGGACAGTCTGAATGTCTCCTTGGAAAGTCTCATTGCAAACTTGTGTGCGTGTCTTGTCCCAGCGGCTGGAGGGTCTCAGGTAAACAGAATGAAAAAGAAGATGAAGAGGGCCTGCTTCTCTTCTGCTCTCCTCCAGTTAATTTAATTTATGAAGAAAAGGAAAAAAAACGAATTCTTTAAATATTTTCTTTTTAAAGTGGGTCTTAGGGGACTTCCCTGGCGGTCAAGTGGTTAAGACTCCGCCCTTCCAATGCATGGGGCGAGAGTTCAATCCTTGGGAGAAAAAAAAAAAAAGTCTTAGTTTAGTTAAGCATTGTCCCTGTGGTCTTCCTTTTAGAAACACAAGATTCCATTCTTTTCTTAGGTCATGGGGTTAATTTTAACACAGGGTTCACCTTTCACATTGCATAGTTAGAAGTTATATTCTGTTTAACTTGAAATCTAGCTTACATTTTCTTAGGAATGCACTTTTTAAAATTGAACTTCAAATGTGTTCTTTATACCATCTTTATTCCTCTATATGATTACACCTCATTTTATTAAAATTTTTTTCAGTGATAAAAATTCAGAGATAACATTAAGAAAACTGTCAGTATAATTTTTTGTAACATTGTAACTACCCCTGGATAGATTAATTCATTTCTTCATTTCCTTGGATAAAATCAGTTATATGTGGTCCTTAAAACCATTTTGTATGTTGTGGGTAATGTTTAGTAGAATAGCTTGTACTTAAGCTTCAGAAGAAGAGGGCTTATTTTTCTCATCTCAGTTCTCTACCTTTAATAATAATAATAATGATGATTTGACCATTGTCCAAAATCACAGATCTTTGGAAAGTATAATCTATACCTTAAAGAATTTCGTTATACATAGATTGAGCCCATGAGGACATTAAACTCTTATACTGAAATAAAGCTTTCTCAAAGTGACATGTCTTTCATCTTCTCTGTGTCTTGAAATTTTTATCTTCTTCTCTGAAGTAGAAAAATGAGAACCTCAGCTTGTGTGACTGAATGTTCCTAGGTAACTTAAAAAAACTACTTAAGTCCTAAAATTGATTAGTTGACCACTTATTATGCTTATTCTTACGTAATAACAAGGAAAAGAACAGCCCTCTAAAAATTACATTTTTTAAACTCTGATAGATAAAAAAAGAGATGTTACCTATGGTAAAACTGACATCTTTTCTCCTTGCCCTTCGCCTTTTTAACTGTCTACTATCTTTCCTAGTGTCTTTTGGTTGCTCTTAAGTTTATTTTCCTTCTGCACTCTCCTCCCTCATTCTCTGTTTGTGCTCCAAGAGCAGAATATAAAATGTGAGTTTAGTCTCAATTGAACCTAAACTGTAAAGCAGATGAATTATTTTATGAGCCTTTATTATGATGAAATTTTTGTTGACATGATTTTATGTATTTTTTAATTTAAAAGGATTTTTATTGTGACTATTAGAAGTTTTTAAATTGTATGTTTCATATTACTATATTTCTTTTATTTTTCCAATTTTATTGACATATAACTGGCATGTAAATGTTAGCTTTAACATTTTCTTATTTTTTAGTTACATGTTACTGTCAGTGATTTGTATGTTTCATTATTACTAAATTTTCACCTTCCAACTACTGAATTTTCTTGTATCATATTCAGTTGGGCACGAAGTAACTTGAATGTTTTGAGCTGCCTTATTGCCCTTCACAATTGGGTCTTATATGACCATCAACTGCTCTAAATTTGAACTTCAAAGGGATTTTTTTTATCTTGAGAAAATGTGTGAAAAGAAATCATTTGTTGTGTGTATGTGTTTTCCTCCCATTCTGCAGAAGCTGTTTTCCTTGGGTGCAGGAGACAGACAACTGATCCAGACTCCCTTGCATGATAGTCTTCCTGTCACAGGAACTAGTGTGGCCCTCCTGTTCCAGCAGTTAGGTATGTCTTGTTCTCCATTTTTCAGTGTTCTTCTAAAAGCTTCTGAAAAGAAGATTAATTTTTAAGCCCATATCACCTGACATGAACCAGGACAATAAAAAAGTAAGCCATTACATAACTTATATATAAAATATTTAATTATATGGGTTCTAATCTCAACTAGTATTCACTGTTTTTAACCCAGGCTCCTTTTGCTCTGTAGTCACTTAGGCTTTTAGAAAGTAAACATATTTTCTCTGTGCTGTAAAAGATGAATAGGTGGTTTGTTTTGTTTTTCCTTAGAAGATAAAACGAAAGGAATCCCTTCCTTTTCATTTCACCACCTGTAGCAGGACTTCATCTCTAATTTTCTAGCAATGGCTCAGGTGAAGAATTATAGGAAAGACACGAGAAAGTGCCCTCTGTACATTGGATAGCTCATACTTCATTAAAGGAGTAATATAACTTAGAGCATGTTTCAGATCAGCGCTGCCAGAGACTGTCACTTACTTTATCTCTTACTTGTCTTATATATGTACCTATGTAAGAGTTTCTCACTCCCTTAGATTATGTCTTTCACATTGTTCTCCATCTGTGTCTTTTTATAGTTGAGTTGAAACCATCCCTTTCCTGGGGGCTCATCTCTACTTCTCCATGGAATTCTTAATTCATTACATAAAAATTCTACCTTTTTATTTTCCCCATATCTCATGTTGAATTTTACTCCCTGCTCAACTCTGAAACACATCACTTCTTTTCCTTTAATGGCCCCATCCTTATTCTTCTTTGTGACGCCAATCAGTGAAATTTAGAGAGCCTCAGAAGAGTTTAATGGGCTTCCCTCATAGCTCAATTGGTAAGGAATCAGCCTGCAATGTAGGAGACCTTAGTTCGATTCCTGGGTCAGGAACATCCTCTGGAGAAGGAAATGGCAACCCACCCCAGTATTCTTGACTGTAGAATCCCATGGATTCTTGACAGGGAAGCCTTGCAGGCTACAGTCCATGAGGTCTCCAGAGTTGGACACAACTCAGTGACTAGATCACCACACATAGAGTTTCTAGTATCCTAATAAAGATGAATGATGGCATCAATCCCAAAATAGTAGTTCTCTATTATATCTGCCTCCCCATAGGAGTTTAAACTGTTAAAAATTACGTATTCCTTTTCTTCCTCCCTGAAAGTTTCTGCTCATTGAATCATCTTAACCAAGTTCAAATTAATTTAATTAAAACTTTTTGTTTAATATGTGAAATAGGCACTGACTCCTTGGTGGCACTTATTTCTGTAAAGAATATCTTGTTGATTAAAACCTTCCTCCACAAAGTTTTGGACGTAATTTTAGGGGTTCCTGAACTACCTACAGCTTGTGCATGGTCCCTACTAATCACTGACTTAATTGATTTTAGCTAAGCACTATTCACATGATCTTTTTCATTTAGGAGGGCTTGTATGCCTGTACCTGGGTCAGCGGTAGTCTGCCACAGGAACAGGAGCTCTGGGTGCAGCAGACTTGGATATGGCATGAGCCCTCTTGGAGGAGGTCACCATTAACCCCACCATAGAGCTGCCAGAACTTGCACTGGACTGGGAAATAGACTCTTGGAGGGCACAACAGAACCTTGTGCACCAGGACCCAGGAGAAAGGAGCAGTAACCCCACAAGAGACTGTCCCGGACTTGCATGTGGGTGTCCAGGAGTCTCCGGCAGAGTCATGGGTCGGTGGTGGCCTGCTGCAGGGTTGGGGGCACTAAGTGTAGCAGTACATGCATGGGATCTTTGGAGGGAGGTCACCATTATCTTCATTACCACCATAGTTAGGCCCCAGGTAAACAGCAGGGAGGGAACACAGCTCCACCTATCAACAGAAAATTGGATTAAAGATTTACTGAGCATGGCCCCACCCATCAGAACAAGACCCAGTTTCCCCCTCAGTCAGTCTGTCCCATCAAGAAGCTTCCATAAGCTTCTTAACCTTCTCCATCAGAGGATAGACACCCTGAAAACCACAATCACAGAAAACTAACCAATCTAATCACATGGACCACAGCCATGTCTAACTCAATGAAACTATAAGCCATGCCATGTAGGACCACCCAGGACAGATGGGTCATGGTGGAGAGTTCTGACAACATGGGTCCACTGGAGAAGGGAATGGCAAGAAACTTCAGTATTCTTACCTTGAGAACCCCATGAACAGTATGAAAAGGCAAAAAGATAAGACACTGAAAGATGAACTCCCCAGGTAGGTAGGTGCCTATTATGCTACTGGAGATCAGTGGAGAAACAACTCCAGAAAGAATGAAGAGATGGAGCCAAAGCAAAAACAGCACCCAGCTGTGGATGTGACTGGTGATGGAAGCAAGGTCTGATGCTGTAAAGAGCAATATTGCATAGGAACCTGGAATGTTAGGTCCATGAATCAAGGCAAATTAGAAGTGATCAAACAGGGATGGCAAAAGTGAACATTGACATTTTAGGAATTAGCGAACTAAACTGGACTGAAATGGATGAATTTAACTCAGATGACCATTATATCTACTACTGTGGGCAAGAATCCCTTAGAAGAAATGAAGTAGCCATCATAGTCAACAAAAGAGTCCGGAATGCAGTACTTGGGTGCAATTTCAAAAACGACAGAATGAGGTCTGTTCATTTCCAAAGCAAACCATTCAATATCACGGTAATCCAGGTCTATGCCCCGACCAGTAATGCTGAAGATGTTGAACGTTTCTATGAAGACCTACAAGACCTTCTAGAACAAACACCCAAAAAAGATGTCCTTTTCATTATAGGCGACTGGAATGCAAAAGTAGGAAGTCAAGAAACACCTGGAGTAACAGGCAAATTTAGCCTTGGAGTACAGAATGAAGCAGGGCAAAGGCTAATAGAGTTTTGCCAAGAGGACGCACTGGTCATAGCAAACACCCTCTTCCAACAACGCAAGAGAAGACTCTACACGTGGACATCACCAGATGGTCAACACCGAAATCAGATTGATTATATTCCTGTAGCCAAAGATGGAAAAGCTCTATACAGTCAGCAAAAACAAGACCAAGAGCTGACCATGGCTCAGATAGATCAAGAGCTGACCGTGGCTCAGATCATAACCTCTTTATTGCCAAATTCAGACTTAAATTGAAGAAAGTAGGGAAAACCAGTAGACCGTTCAGGTATGACCTAAATCAAATCACTAACAATTATACAGTGGAAGTGAGTAATAGATTTAAGGGACTAGATCTGATAGACAGAGTGCCTGATGAACTATGGATGGAGATTCATGACATTGTACAGGAGACAGGGATCAAGACCATCCACAAGAAAAAGAAATGCAAAAAAGCCAAATGGCTGCCTGAGGAGGCCTTACAAATAGCTGTAAAAGAAGAGAAGCAAAAAGCAAAGGAGAAAAGGAAAGATATTCCCATTTGAATGCAGAGTTCCAAAGAATAGCAAAGAAAGATAAGAAAGACTTCCTCAGTGATCAGTGCAAAGAAATAGAGGAAAACAATAGAATAGGAAAAACTAGAGATCTCTTCAAGAAAATTAGAGATACCAAGGGAACATTTCATGCAAAGATGGGCTCAATAAAGCACAGAAATGGTATGGACCTAACGGAAGCAGAAGATACTAAGAAGAGGTGGCAAGAATACACAGAAGAACTATACAAAAAAGATCTTCACGACACAGATAATCACGATGGTGTGATCACTCACCTAGAGCCAGACATCCTAGAATGTGAAGTCAAGTGAGCCTTAGAAAGTATCGCTATGAACAAAGCTAGTGGAAATGATGGAATTCCAGTTGAGCTATTTCAAATCCTAAAAGATGATGCTGTGAAAGTGCTGCACTCAATATGCCAGCAAATTTGGAAAACTCAGCAGTGGCCACAGGACTGGGAAAGGTCAGTTTTCATTCTAATCCCAAAGAAAGGCAATGACAAAGGATGCTCGAACTACTGCACAATTGCACTCATCTTACATGCTAATAAAGCTCAAAATTCTCCAAGTCAGTATTCAACAGTACATGAACTATGAACTTCCAGATATTCAAGCTGGATTTAGAAAAGGCAGAGAAACCAGAGGTCAAATTGCCAACATCTGCTGGATCATCAAAAAAACAAGAGAGTTCCAGAAAAATATCTATTTCTGCTTTATTGACTATGCCAAAGCCTTTGACTGTGTGGATCACAATAAACTGTGGAAAATTCTGAAAGAGATGGGCATACCAGACCACCTGACCTGCCTCTTGAGAAACCTGTATGCAGATCAGGAAGCAATAGTTAGAACTGGACATGGATCAACAGACTGGTTCCAAATAGGAAAAGGAGTACATCAAGGCTGTATATTGTCTTCCTGCTTATTTAACTTCTGTGCAGAGTACATCATGAGAAATGCTGGACTGGAGGAAGCACAAGCTAGAATCAAGATTGCCGGGAGAAATATCAATAACCTCAGATATGCAGATGACACCACCCTTATGGCAGAAAGTGAAGAACTAAAGAGCCTCTTGATGAAAGTGAAAGAGGAGGGTGAAAACGTTGACTTAAAGCTCAACATTCAGAAAACTAAGATCATGGCATCTGGTCCCATCACTTCATGGCAAATAGATGGGGAAACAGTGGAAACAGTGACAGACTTTATTTTGGGGGGCTCCAAAATCACTACAGATGGTGACTGCAGCCATGAAATTAAAAGACGCTTGCTCCTTGGAAGAAAAGCTATGACCAACCTAGACAGCATATTAAAAAGCAGAGACATTACTTTGCCAACAAACGTCCATCTAGTCAAAGCTATAGTTTTTCCAGTAGTCATGTATGGATGTGAGAGTTGGACTATAAAGAAAGCTGAGCACTGAAGAATTGATGCTTTTGAACTGTGGTGTTGGAGAAGATTCTTGAGAGTCCCTTGGACTGCAAGGAGATCCAACCAGTCCATCCTAAAGGAAATCAGTCCTGAATATTCATTGGAAGGACTGATGTTGAAGCTGCAACTCCAATACTTTGGCCACCTGATGCAAAGAGC